CGAAAGGTTAATAGATATAATGCGTTAGACAATATTTATTATTTGATTACCTTGAAGAATGGACTTTCCCCATCCAGTAGCGATGCATTGTCTATTGTTTTGTACTAATTCATTTATTTCGGGTAAACAAATAGGATTTACATGAACATTGAGGGTTGCTGCTCTTTCAAGATGCAATATCGCGAGGTCATGTTCTCCAAGTCCTCGCGTATAACCAGGATGTAGACTGATGGACGATACGTTAATGATTTCAAAAGGTAGTGGTTCCTCGTGCTGTAATTCGTATCCCAATTTCCATTCACCCAACTTTATTGAAATATCACTTGGTGAAAGGCTTATGTAATAAAAAAAAAGTATAAAAGGTTATTTGAAATTGTTTATATTAATTACTAAAAAAAATAGGAATTAAATATAACGAAATATGAAAAACAATTAACAAGTATATTTATATTACATTTCTAAATTCTAGCTCGTCAAAGATACTGAAAGGTAATTGTATTTTGCAAAACACCAAAAAGCCGGGAAATACTAAAAGCATTCTTAATATCGTGAGCTTTCCATTAGGTTTTTGTTTTCTTCAAATAAGATTGTGATAAAAGAAAAAATAGCAAAAATAAATGCATACAGAAATTTTTAAAATAACTACACATATTAACAAAAAGTAGACTTGTTAATAACAAAAGAACATACAATACAAATAAGAAATAAGTGTAATAAAATAGTTGTATTTGCATTATAAAGTTTACTACGTTGTAAAAAGCATAACAAAAAGTAGAAGCTAACAGTTTCCATAGCTGCTTTCCTTTGTTTCCAAATTGTTTCTATTTGTTACATTATAAACACCAAACTGAACAATAATTGTGTCTCATGCATAAATTAATATATGAAATAAAGAAATATTAATCTGTAATTTTTATAACAGACTTCATTTCAGTTAATAAACTCAAATTTAAAGATCAAACAGTACTTTTTCATTGAAATGCTACTTTGACAATCTCTGAATTTTTTTACAAAGAATGTTTAAGTAACATTAGGTCTAGAAACTTATTTTCATAATGTAAACAAGTGAAGTTGTATCGGTGTACTCAGTTTTGTGTTTTACTATGTAATTGATTACTATTACTTTTTTTATTTGTTTACTTATTTATCTAATGTTGCATCGTTTTTACATTTAACATAACATTTACCTTTCAACACAGTTAGCTGCTGTTAATACATGTTCAGTACCAACTAGAGCACCGGAACAGAGAATTTTTCTTTCTGCTAAATGCAAAACCATTGCTTGCCACGGAATTTCAGCAAAAGATGTTACTGATTCTTCTATTTTTGATTGTTCCAAAACCTGACACAGAAAATTCCTTTAAATACACCTTACTTATACAGTCCCACCTATCTCTACCACCCTTAATTATTTTCTCATTTGTAAAGATACAAACAAATGCTTCGGAAAGATTATTGCATTTCAGGAGGGAAATTAGGTTATTGGATTGAAGGTCATCTTAAGGTCATAATTTTGTTTTGTTTACCAAGAGAAAGGTGGCATCGAAACGCATTGAATCGCGTATCACAACATGACTTTGAAATGACCTTGGACTGAAAATTTCACGAGTAAATGATCGAGGTGGAAGCTCGCGGCAAATATATAATTGATATCCATATAACACAGGTTGTATCGTACTTACCTTATTTCTAACACCGCATTTCAATTTTGATACTTGTACATTCAAATTATTTCTCACACGCCTATCATCACTTGGGGGTATTAAGGTTTTTGTAAAAACATTCGAATTTTCTGGTACCAACGTGGGCTCTGGTTTTGTTTCCTGCTGTTGTGCAGGCTGAGAGTTTGAAATTGTTTTTATAGGAGGTTTTACCTTAGCAAGATTCAGAAACGTTGGGAAACCTTTTTCGTCAAATCCACCACTATAATTTTCTGGAAGATTGTTTGTTGGCCAAGGATCAACGTAATTTGGATCTCGGCAACATTTCCCAATTATTTCATTTTTTGGATTTTTGCAAGTCTGTAAAAAATACAGTAATGACATTTGTGCAATTAACGACAGTATATATTAGATACGTTCGCTTTTACGGGCCAAATTTGAAGTTTCAATAGGAATCTTAATTTTCAAGTATTTTTATCCATACATTAAGAAATAAAAAATTGATGCATTATAATTTACTTTTATTTCAAATTCTTTCGCGCTCAAATGAATATCGATGCTACCTAATTAAATTTTCACCATGTGTTTTCTGTTACAATGGTTTTATTGTAGATAGAAGATATAAAATGTATCTTTCGCATTGCTAGAGTAGTATATTTTTCATTCCATTGTAAAATAAAATTGAAGAAAATTGGAGGTGTTTGTTCATTACTTGAAATTTCGTTAATATTAGATTATTGTTATTTGTATTATTGAAAAACGGCACGTATTATATGAAATCGTAATGTGTGCTTCTTCAATTGAACGAGATATTTTACTACTTTGTGTGTAAATATTGTCGAACTATAGTATTGAACGGAGCTCTGGTATAATTAGAATGAAGTTGAAAAAAGAATGCGTGTAACAATTTTATTAGAGTCTAAAAATTTGGAATCAAAAATTTTTTATTTCGTTATGCGAATTTTCGTTATACGAAGTGTCTACTGTACGTGTGAATTTAAATTTAAACATATATTGCATAATTTCATTGTTTCATCGTTAATTTTGTATTTCATCGACGTTCTTTTTGGAATATTGAAAATTAACATTAATCAAAGATTGTGAGAAAAATCTCCGCTTCACTGTATCTTGAACATTTTAATTGATATAATTTATTTTATAAAATAAAAATTACTCAACATCATTTACTTTGCAAAAATAAGAAACTGTATACTATATTTTAAAATATTTCGAAAATGATCTGTTTATAGATATTCTTCAATACTTCTTTCTCGTAAGCATATAAATGCATTTCGAAAATAGTACAATTAATGTAACAACATTTTTGGTTGTTCCATCTTTACTTACGCTCAGTGGTACACGTCGGAGGATTTGTTTACTCGATAACGCAACAGGCTGTGGACTAATCGTACCGTCCATGGTACAAAATTGTTCTTCAACGCAAAGAAGAGCTGCTGCACAGCCAAGCTGCATAGGTATCGCGGTTTCAAAGTCGGCTGAAGGTTTTTAATGTTTTAACAAAGAAATACGATAAATAACGGAAATATATTATGATAAGTTGAAATAATAATTTGATATACTTAGCGAGGAAGACCCAATATCTTGTCCAGAATTGTCACTGGGTACTGCAACCCCGCTACTCTTTATAGCTGACTGATCATCTTGAAAGACTATATTGTTATCATCTTGTTTTGCACTGCCTTCGGACGTATCAATTGTGCAACAAACTTGATTCTGAACTCGACACTGTTGAACCTTCGTGAAAAAATTAAAGTAATTTATTAGGTGTTCAAATTAAGTCGGTGCCTATTTTCAGAAAGTCTGGAAGACTTTATCGACTGAAAGTCGCCATACTTTTTCAGAAAGGGAATTCGTCAGTCGCCCAATAAATGGATAAAAAGTCGTTCAAAATAATGGAGATCATTTTGAAAATTTAAATTCTGTTCGATTTTTTGTAAATCGACATTTAAGCTTGTAAGAAAGTGCACCGAATCTAAATTTGTTTCGAAAACTGTCGACGTAAATAAATATACAAAAACATTTCAAATTAAGACATAAAGAATATTAAACATCATCGCTATTTCAGAATTATTACATAAGTAAAGAAATAAATAGGAACAATTTTTTGTTAATATATTTCTTCATTATTATTGAAACTAAAATTGCAAAATAATAAAAATATTTATCCTAACTTATTGTAATTACAAATTACTTCAAGTAAAATTCATTTCTACGAGTAAATGATCGTTTCGCTAAAAAAGAAAAAATGAACAAACATAAAATAAAATGTTACCTTAGCAAATGAAGAATAAGCGGCACTTTTGTCAAAGCGAATATAACCATTTAGGCAGTCATTTTTATCGACGCATAGTCTGTTCTCTCCGGTGCAGCTAATTGTAAAACCAGTTTGTTCCGAGGCTTCTGAATTACCAGAAGGGAAATAATCTTCATTGACTGACTCTCCATTGATTTGATGCTCGTCATCGTGGAATGCCACTTTCTGTTCTTTGGGAGTATGAAAGAACACTAGCTGATCTTGAGGGGGTTCGACTAACGCTAGCTGATCTTGAGGGGGTTCGACTAACGCTAGCTGATCTTGAGGAGGTTCGAATAACACTTGCTGTTCTTCTGGACTTGGAAATACAGCTGTTTGTTCGACATTTTGAAATTCTGTTCGAATGAAACAGAGTAACAATCATGAACAATACAAAGCCCAACTTTTATTTCATGTACACTGCCGTTTATAAGTATTAGGACATCTATTGTGTTCGTGCAGAAAGTATTAGACGATTTAAATTACATTTCTCTGTCGAAGTTAGTATTACATTGAGCCGTTTAACCCCTTAACTTATGATTACTTTTCTGACTATGCATCTAAGCGTCGGCCATTTTGCTGTTTTACTACTGTATCAGGTAACAGAAGCTAATCTGTTACAAATTAATTACATTTAGTAATCTTCAGTCTTACGAATTCAAACGAAAATTAGGATTACAATGAATTTTTCTTATTGATGTAACTATTTGTCTCACATCTTCGCCAGAATCTCTGCCAGGAGTCTCACACGTTGCTATAAGTTAAGGGGTTAATGTTTTTCTCGTAAATGGTAGATTTGTGAGAGAAATAGAAGAGGACAAAGTTTCATTATCTTTTATAATCAATATGACGATGAATTGAATAGATTTTTTAAATTTGCAATGGTTTTCGCGTAATGACCATACCACGAATTTTTTTCACTAGTTTCACTAGTTGTTTTTATATGATATGAAAGCGGTTGATAAGTTGAACGACCCACAAAAAACTCATTTTCAGCCTCAATTTCGCGTCAAATTTTGGTGTGGCGTAATACATGACACACTATTAGGATCTTACTTTTATGACAGCACCTTAAATGTAAATAGATATTCAGAAGTTTTATCGTATGCACTCTTTGTATTACGAGATCCCGGACTGAATAATTTTTTCTTCTTGACTGTTTAGGGTTGCTTCATATTCAATAGGTGTCCTATTATTTATAAACAGGATGGGATTTTCAGGGTGGATTTTCTGGCTATGGCGGTACGAGAGAGTTTTTGTACGTAATTTAAATGGTTTCGAAGAATGGAGAAGATGGAAGAAAAATTTGTTTTTGTCAAGGTCGCCTATATATTTTCACATGAATGTATATATATATTCTTTTCTTCTATATGATGTAGCAGACCTTGATGTGCATTTAAGCATGCATTAAAATGACTTTGGACTCTACAATTTTAAATCAAATGTGAATTTTCCTTTCATTTTTCTCTATTTCTTCCACTAAAACAATTTTTACTTGCACCTTATTCGTCCTTTGAAACCATTTAAGTTACATATTAAAGTTCTCTCGTATCAGTATAGTTAGAGAAGATAAATAGGTGGCCTGTTCCACACGATCCACCCTATACATAAGCAATAAATAGAAGTGATTTAACGGGAGGAACATACATTAGAACTTTTAGAAAAATAAGTAACAAACTTTTTAGTTAGTTATTCAATAAATTGTTATTACAAAATTGTTTAATAAATCGTTAGTGCTAATAAACTGTTTAGACATTTCTAAAACAGTATTGCCATGTCTTCAGTTTAAATAAACTGCACTAAACAAATAAAAAGCCAGAGATTTCTATTTGTACACTAATATTTTCGCGTATCATAAAAGAAATAAAACATTGCTTCGCGTTACACGTTTTTAGCACTTTAATTACTTAGTAAAGAAACCAAAATGTTACAGACCCGTGTAATGAGCCTGAGAATAATCTGCGGCGGGAGATCCATTTGTCGAAAAAATAGTTGTAACTAATATCAATAATTCGACAAGCATTTCTTTCGTCTTTCCACTGCGTATCCCTGCAAAAGTAACGTAATTAACATCACTTAAAAAGTTCTTTTCATTCAATTGTCATAAGAACAGTCGTAAATATTCGTAGAACTGCAGTTTTTAGGCGATAACGTTATGTTAAAGTTATAAAAACGTAGGAACTAGCAGAATTTGGTTAAATGAATGAAAAATCGCAAAGTAAGTAATTCAAACAAAATCAGCAAAGCATAAAAACAATAATATATCTGCCTATTCTTCAACATTGTAATAAAAGTAAAGAGAAGGCTGAAGCATTAAAGTATTTCTTCGATCGAATCCCGTGTAGGTGATCAATAATAAAATTAAAGAAATATTTACTAAATATTATTGCTGTTTCTTGTTAGTGACTTGTTTCTTAACATTTCATCAAAGAATTAAGTACTACTAATTTGATATACACTTTTTTCAATGTTAAATGGGTTTAGAGTTTTATTACCGTGCATATTTACCGTTTCTCCGCAAGATTTTAATTTATGGTCAGTTTATTACAGGTTAATATGCGTTTTAACGAAACATCTTTTTTTTTTTTTTTGTTACATTACCTTTTATTACATCTGTTTCTAAGAAGTTATGTAGCATTATCATTGTACTAGCTATTATCGTACCTTTTGCACCACCTTTCGTGCTCCCTCTTTGATTTTAAATATATATATACCGAAGTTCTTCAATTAATTTACATCGAAATACACGTTAAATGAACAATACTAGTTAAAAATACTACTACGATAGTTACGATAATTGCGGTAAAAATAAATTTCAATTTACAGCTTAAAGCAGACTTCGGGGCTTCTTTAAATGTGATTACGACTTATCAGACATCCTACTTTATAGCTGATCATATTACGTATGTGTGACATTATCTAGTGACAAATATTTCCGTGTGTCGCTTTCTATCATTAATCAAAATACGTGAGATTGTCGTGAAAGTTAGCGATATTAACCTTTCTACATATGTATATAAGTATGCACATGTACAGGGTGAATCACCTTAAATTATTCTCTTATCAGTGAGTGGAACGATCGAAAAAATATTTTTGTATCGCGTAATATGATTCAAAGCGACTCGTTAGTTAATCATAGTACACTTTCTATCATTTGTTTTACTTTGAAATTTTCAAGGTCAACTTCATTCTACGATAGATCTGCGTTTATGCACAAAAAACTGAAAGTGACCTTGAAAACTTACAAGGAGAACAAGTGATAATAAGTATAGTATAGTCATCTTGAGGGACTTGTTCGTGAAAAAAATTCGATCGGTCCACTAATAACGAAATAAATAGTTCAAGGTGTTATTTAAATAACCTCGTTAATTATGAGGTTACAGTAATCACGGGAAAGATGCCGCTTATTCTGAAAAATTGACAGTGTTCCTAAATTTTGTCAGGGAAAATTTTATAATGTATTTATAATAAATTAAAATTTTAATAAATATGTCACCTTTAAAACATTGAAATTCAATGTTTTCTTCTTCAGGGAGGGGCGCCTCGCTTCCGGAAGTGGTGCTGTATTTCGAAGAATTTGTAATTTTCAATTTAAACTTGTCATTCAGAAAATTAGTTAAAATAAAGTAATTTGACACTTTTATTTTCTGAAATTATAAAATACAATACAATATCATTTGTGCTTCTCTGAATTTAGTTGTCGTTTTCTCTTTCTCCCGCAGTCGTTACACACATGTATACAGAATCATACATGGTGCATGTTTCTTTCAGATTTTTCATTGAAAAGTAAATAATCTGCTTTTAGATATCGCGTTACCTATTGTAAAATACTTCTTTTCTATTTTAAACACCAAAGACATCATTTCAGTTGACTTAGCTTCCACTTAACGTAAGTAAAGAAACGGTCCTGAACATGTTAAGTGTGCAAATTAATTCGGTGTCTTTTTTAACAAACTACTGTGTTTATTTACAAAAAATCAAACACAATCTTATTGTTCTCAGCAGTCTCCATTATTTTGGATAATTTTTTTCCCATTCGTCAGGTAACTGACGAATTCCCTCTCTTAAAAAAGTATGATAGTTTTGAGCCGACAAATCTTTCGCTTTGTGAAAAAAGGCACCGAATTGATTGGTACACATAATATGTGAATAACGGTGCGGTTACCGCCATTCCTAAAATACCCACAGTACGGCATCTCTCCCATAATTACCGTACATTATAGCGTCAATGTCAACGGATAATATTTCGAATATTTATTTCAACTAAGGGAATTAGACTATTCATGTCGATAAGTATCGCGAAATAAGTACCATTGCGTTATTGAAGTCTTAGCTTATACTGAATTTCCAGCTTGATGTTAAAGGAAGAAAATTTTCGATAAGAGAATTGTCTCGTTAACTATTCGATTTATATATTTATTTATTTACATATACATATATGTATGTGTGTATACTGCCGTTCATAAGTATTAGATAACCCATTATGTTTATGTAGAAACTATTACATGATTTAAATTACATTTCCTCGCCAAAGTTAGGGTCATATATTAGTAAAAGTATATATGTACATATATGCACTCGTTATACTTCGAGATTCTAGAAAGAATAATTCTTTTTTAAGATCTTAATAATTCTGTTGTGACTTTTGTGAGTTGAATTACTTTATATTAAACTTGTTATTCCAAAGAGGCTTGCTTCACATTCAGTAAGTAGATTTTAGTATAACTTTGTAGATTTCTGTAGATTTTAATAAAATTTAGTAGATTTTGGTCAAATTTAGTGGATTTCAGTACATTTTAGTAGACTTCAGTAGACTTTCGTAAGTTTCAAATGACTTGGATAAATATTAATAGAACCCAGTAGATTTGAATAGAATTCAGCAGACTTCGGTAGATTTTGATAAATTTCATCAGAGTTCAGTAGCTTTCGATAGATTTCAGTAGAATTGAGGATGCTTCACACTCAGGAAGTGTCCTGATACTTACGAACGCGAGAGTACATACGTGATACCTTGTGAATGAAAGCTAAGTTGTTCTCTGTAACATTTTGATAAGGCAGATGAGATACGAATATAAAAGTCGGAGAATTCGCATGGTTAAGTATATACGAAGAAAGTGTTGTATATGAGAATGCTGACGTCCGGGTAAAGTGGTGAAAAGCATTAATTTTAATTTATGGAAAAAAGAAGAGCCATCACCCGGAAATAGCTGATCCGGGTCACGCCGTTTCGATCGAAAGAGAAAGGAATACACAGATTCTCGATTTTTACTTTTCTAATGTCCTACATTCCAAGAATGATATTTTTGAGCCCACGTCATTCTTTCCTCGACCTCGAGAGTGTTTCACTTCACCTCTCTACCTCCCTTTCTCCCTTCCTCATTCTTATTCCTTCGTCCGTATTATTAGTAACTACTACCTCACTACTGTTACCATTTGCCGAATTTTGCAATGTTACAAATTAACGTTAAGACCTTACACGTCAACCGATCACATATTCTTAACACTCGAATGAATTGAAATAGCACATTGTAAGAAGAACATGCTGTTTTCCTACGTACATGGGATGGGACTTGTTTTTTTCTGAAAGTTCAAATACGTTTCACTACGTAATTGTTAGCTTTGTTTGCATGCTGAAACACACATTTGTATTCAAGACCGAATATTACTGTATGTTTTTTAATAAATCGTTTTTGGCTTCATTTTTTACGTTGTTCAGATTTTAGCTGTTGAGATTCGCTTTTTTGGGGCAGCCGTTTAATTGGGACAAATTAGCCCGGTCCCAATGTGTTCCAATTAACCGGAATCCACTGTATGATTAATTCACGGTGGATTATTGTAAGGAATACTGAATTTTCGTTTAATTTATGGTTTCCTTTAAGCGTAACCTTTCCATTACATTATAAATTATTTGTGTATTTTATAGTGCAATGAATCTATTTAAGCACGTATTCAAATTGATAAAACTATAGTTACCTAATCAGCTGTTATATAACGCGTAGAAATTAAATTCATATATTCATTTTATCTATTCGACGTGGTTGTGAATACAAGAATTAGAGTTTTATTTTTTTCGTTTAATAATAAATGTGAAATTTTATTTTTGAAGTTATTTTTTAAACTTGCCATCATCGGTAGTCTCGTTCCTTTTATGTGCGTTTACTTTTAAACATTTTCTTATAATTCAGTTTTGTATCTTTTATGCTTATTTATTTTTAACTAATTAGTTTATTCAAGCAACGCAATGTCGGGAAAATATATACGAACTTGCGACCTTAAGTTCGACAATATAACTTACAAAGTAGATTATATTTTGTAATTTGTTATGAAATTTCTGTACGTTTGTAAGAATAAACGACTGGTTTACAAAGTAATTTTGAATTGGAGAAAGCACAGTCAGTTATTTAAACAATGTACTACGAATAAAAATATTGGAGTGTTTGTTAGTGGTGAGCAAATATTTCTACAAAAATTATTTCTAAAATAAAAGAAAATTTATTTCTAAAGTAATTTTTTTTTTTGCAAAATTAATAAAAATATCGTAAACTATTTGTTAGAATAATATAAAAACATAAAGAAATAACTTCGTAAACTTCAAACAATATTATAGAAGGTTTTACGTTATCCACAATCCTGTTTGAAGTTAAAATTAAATTTAGAAGTTTAAATTAATGGGAATAAGCGTGCATATAACTATGAAAAATCAAGCAATTTCAAATAAAATTGAAAATTACCAGACTGATTACAATTAAAACTCGCAGTACCTACGTGCTCAATAGATCCGCATGGGATGAATACGATTCACTAAATGGAATTTACTTTTCCACCTGATACACCTAAAAGAAAGTTAATAAAACTGACGCTGCTTTAATATTCGTTCTTCTTTTATATCGATTCACCAATCTTCGATATCTCCCTACCATGCGAATCGTAAATGCAACCTTGTACCCACCTTCCTTGGACCATCCTCTCTAAAAATTTCCTCACACTAATAAAATAGTTTTCCTAATTTGTTCATCAAGGTTCTATTACCTCGACGATATTCCTATTAAATATTTATATTATTTGTTTATCGGATAAAAATTTCGATGTTATTATATTATTATAGTAAAAAAAGAAACCTGCGTCCATTGTTCATTTCGTTTTTTGTTAATTCTGTAGCAAAAACTGTAAACATGTTTCGTCACATCGTGTAAGTAAATATCACATAAATATGTGTATAATACGAATATGGTAACAGATTATGTATGTATGTATGTGAATTAGAACCGTTACGCACTCTCGACCAGTTGCTGGCGACTTTGTCCACGAAGGACCAAAAACCAGGCAATTAAACGCAGAAACTCGAAAGTTGTCACAATCGTTGTATAAATTTTTCTGTATCGAAGCTCATTATTACGTTATGGTATAGTCGCCTATACGTTGCTTGTGTTTTCGTGGTCGCTGCGACTAACAATAAGTGCGTTTATATTCTCTTGAACCCAGTGGTTGGCGACGACCTGGTATGCTCGAATATTCGAGCAGTTGGATTTTCGAACTGAGCCGAGACTCGGTTTTCGATCCGATCCGAGAAGACTGAAAAATCGAGCTGTTCGAAAGAATCGAGTAACTCGAATTGTAATTCGAGAAGTCGAAAAGATCGAGTAGCTCGAAACAATCGAACGGCTGGAAAGAATCGAGTACATAGTTCGAATTGTAATCCGAGAAGTCGGAAAAATCGAGTAGTTCGAATTGTAAAATAATTATTATTTATTTATTTTTATTTTATTTTATAAACGGATTGGTCCCTTTTTATACATATGTGAAATACCGCATTAATGCTTATATAATAATTGTCTAATTGTTTTAACCGCCTTAAAGAGCTTTCTGTACATTTGATTTAAAAGAGGATATAAAGTAGCCAAAGAAATTTATGTTGCTAGTAATTTTGTTTGTTACATTTGACAGTCTGGTAATAACATCGATACGTTCGAATCGAGAGGTATTATTAAAGGTGCATTATTATTAATTCTCTCAAGAATCTTTGGACAGTAGACATGTCCGTTAAGTATTTTATAAAAATAAATCAAGTAGAGGGCAATCCTCCTATGTTCTAAGCTCGTAATGTTCAGTGAACGAATATCTGAATAGTTATGATCAGTGGCAGTTATTGGTTAACCAAGTTAAGCAGCGCATCTAAGAAATTTGTGTTGTACAGCGTTTAGTTGTGTCTTATGGTTTTTATAGTGTGGAGACCAGATGATTATTGTACACCTTTTCTTAATATACACGTAGGTTACAATATTCGAAGCATTCATAATCGATGCAGTCGGGCAGCTCGGAAATTTTTATCTTCTCCAAATATATTCGAACTATACTCGAAACATTCGAGCTACTCGATTCAGCGACATAAGGATTTATGTTAATTTCTGCTTTTTCGAGAACATTGACATGAAATTTTATTATTTCAGTTATTTTATTTTATTATTTTAGTGTTTCAATTATTCAAATAGGTTATGTTAGGTTAAGAATTGTTTGGTAGCTGGTAGGATAGTGATGGTGGAAAAATGCCATGAATAGGGTCTTCGAACACCGTTCTATTGCAATAATTAAATTTGGAGACGGTTGATGGTTTGCGTTGCATGTTCGATGACAGAACAAAGGCGACTAACTGTTTTGTGAATTCTGTGAGTCAAGGTGTTTTTTCCTCTCTCCGAAAGAAGAGACGTGAGACGTGCTTATCGGCATGCCGAAAAAAAGGTTCGCGTTCACGAGCTGCGACAGAACATAAACACGAAACGGTTTCTGCATTCGCCGCGAACTCGTTTAAATCCTTAACAGATATAATTAATACAATTATAATTTTATGGAAATAAAATCGGCTTAACATATCCCTCATTTGAATATAAACGTACTTTTTATATTTACACAATGTGTTCCGTAACATGTTGAAAGTACGGCAGGGGCTGATTCAGCACACTAAAATAAGAAAAAAAGTTCACATAAACATGCCCGATATGACTTTGTTTTCGAGTTACAGCTTAGTTTGTGTTGCAACAATTTTTCTTTAAATTGGATGGTGGTTTACTGTTTTCCTGCATGGTTTCAGGGTCATGTATGTGTTCTATTATGAATGGAGCAGTTAGTTCACAAGCTACGTTCAGTAAAGCAAGATTATTGGGAATTACTGATAATCGTGAAAATGAGTTATTCCAACTGTGAAATGGCTGATATATGTACATCTTATGTATGTACTTACAAAATGTAACACTGTACAGGTCGACCAAGCAAACCTGAAGATTCTAACGCGCATGCCTGTGTAAATGAGCGGAAAACAGGTGGGCGCATAATCCCCACTACTTTACGGTTCTAGATTGTCTCGGTTTGAGGGGAAGTCCTGATGTAAATAGATAAATGGTTATCAACCAGCCGTTGGTAATGTTTTGCGCTGATAAAAGAATAGGAAAGTGAAAAGATTATTTGTCCGCCTTGTCTTTTTACCTGGATCGGCGCAAAAGACAAACATTTAACAGCATCTAGGACGTTAATTTCCAAAAGATTCAAATATAGTAAACTGGGTAATTATATAGAACCGGGCACACCTCATCGATTTCAATGATTTTTAAATAAGTATGAAGGTCAATATTCTGAGCAATTTCACTTATACATGTAACCACCGCGCCGCTCGGCTTTAGTTTTCGAGATACTCATAAATATATTTTTGATATGGGTTAGATTTGGGCTTGGTTTATATTATACGCTTGATCGTTGCTTATCGTTGTTCAAAGAAGAGTAAGTACGATAGCCTTACTCGATCGTGATTGGCTAATTACCACCGAAGATATAACAAGTTCTTCTCCATCTTTCACTTTCTGACCCTAACTCCTCCCTGATCTAACCTAACCGTCAGGTTTGCTTGGTCGACCTATACTCTACATAATTCTGCTGTCTTCTTTTTATGTTAACTTTGTTCTCTGCAATTGAAACTATTTCAGCAGCACACGCCAATTCATGTACTTTCTCACCTACTATTTTCACCCTTGCCAATCCTTCTGCTCTCATGTTTTTCTTTAAATCTACCAAACATGTTAAATAGGCATTTCTGTCAAATGACCTTCCCTGTTTAAAACTTTCTTTCCCTTACTATCTCAGCATCTCGTTCCTTTATCCACGTTCATAGTCATTTTTCTCAACTATCCATTCACTCCTTGTAGAGCAGCATATACAGTTTAACCTTCCAAATTATTTTGGAATTATTCCCACTGTTTCCCAGAATTAACGATGATTCATCAGTTGAATCAACGAATTAAAATAAGAGAAATAAAATTGCTGTATTTTTCATTTTATCATTATAAGATGACTTCAATCTAATTGTTGAACTTATTGCAACGAAAACAACACCAAACACGATTATGTTTACATAATTTTGGAAAATTAACTGCTAAAAAGAATTTAAATAATGAGTGCAATGCACAAAATCATGTCAACTCAATAAAAATTTATTAAACATTGAACATTGAATACATATTGGGAGTGTCCCTTGTACGAATGTAAACAGTAGTTAATTCTTGCACACGCACTTGTTCTGTCTTACTGTGGTCTCCAGTATGCTTCAGAAGTGTTAGAGGGTAGAAATGTATTAACAGGCAATTTCTGGAACACATATCTCTTTTTCATGTAGTCCTCAATTCCAAGCCATGACAACTAAGGGAAAATCAGAAGAAACACGGAAAAGGGTTCAAAAAGCATATATGTGGTAACGAACATCACTTTTTATTTCCTTCACATGTAAAAGATTTGTAAACATAAAATTTCTCCTAAACTGTTCTGGAAATTTTTAAGAGATCATTCTCAAAGGCTTAAAATCCTTTGCTTTCTTTCACTCTCCATTCTCACTTTTTTTTTCTTTCATTACTAAATGATGTTGTACAAGGAATTATATGAAAGACAGTCAGTGTGCTGCCTGACAATTTTTTTCTATGATTTTCCACCAAAACCACCTGTTAAATTTCCAAGTCCTCCAACTGCAGTCTGTTGAAGTTGTTTTATGATATTTTGTAATCCTGACATGCCACCTGAAAAAATTGAAATATTTAGACCAAAATAAATAATAAATTTTTTTATCTTGCTATTGATTAAAGTAAACCATAGTTATAATTTCAATAGTTCAATATAATTTCAATAATTCAATAATTTCAAAAGTTTTAGGTGCTTTGCATCATTGTATCAGATGATTAGCAATGGTTAAAACTTAATTATTATCACAATACTAGTAACATCTTATAACTTACAGATCGACCAACCAAAGCTAAAGGTTCAGGGTGGAATATTAAGTTAAGAATTTTGTTTGCAATTTTGTAAAGTGCAGAAAACTATTTTTATTATTCAGTAATAACAAAAAATGTTTACTTTTCACTTTTCTAAATCTTAAAAAATATCAATACATTTCCTGAGGTTTCCTTTACAATAACAGTTTATTATATGTGAGTTATTTGGAAATTAACGTCCTAGGTGCTGTTAAATGTTCGTCTTATGCGCCGACATACCGACGCATTACCGACGGCTTATTGAGAACCACTGATGTATCTATCTATATATACCAAAAGTTCCCCTCAAGCAAAGATAGTATAGGATAGTAGAGTAATAGGGATGGCCCAACCGCCTGTTAGAACTTCAGAACTTTCAGGTTTGCATGGTCGATTTATACCATAGCCTAATTACATAAAGTAGTAACTATACTGTTAAACAATTGCATACTTCAATTGTATCAATAATAATAAAATTACATAAACGTTAGATAAATGCAAAAATAGTCATGAATTTGTTCAGTGCATTTCTCTTTAAATAATCATTTGATTTATAATGGAGTTGGTTAGACTATCTAATAAAATAGAGAAGAGAGATAGAGAGATAGAGAGAATGTTTATAAGACACATAACGTAAAAAAAGATGAGAAAAAATAAATGTGATATAAGTAAATGTAAAATAAAAATAAAATAGAAACAGAAATAAATATTAACTTTATGTTGAATTATTGAACTTGAGCTTAACTGAGGAGACCATTAGCAGACCCAAGACGAAATGTATCTTTCCTTCCTCTTTCTTTCCTCTCTCCTCGCTCTATTTCTTTCCTTCTGCCATACTCTACCGCTAGAAAAGTATTGCTTACCCATTTGTTGTAAAACCCTAGGATCCATCATTTTTGCCATTTGATGATTTAATTTTGCCATTTGTGTAGAATTGATACTTTTAGTCATATCTCCTGCTTTAAATAATCCTTTAATACCTCCCATTTTCTTTACAACTGCTGCAAATTTTGTGTATTGTGTAATTAAATCTTTGACTTCCTTTTCAGTCATTCCGGAGCCTTGAGCTACTCTTACTATTCTACCCGGTTGTTTACTGAACAATTTTGCACCATCCCTGTTGTCCAATTCTATAAATATTAATTCAGTTTTTTTTTTATTTAAAAATTGTAAGTTATATAATTAACAAAAAATAAATTAACACTAATATATAATCCAGACCTTTCCTTCATCAGGTAATTATGCTACTGATTAAATTGTTTAAAATAACATCGGTAATTTATTAAAAATAACTTATCGAAATGTTATTTCCTATAACAGGATACAAATAGAATTTCCGAAAAAGTATAATAAAATTAAATCTTCCAATTTGGAATATAATCCAGGTCAATTTACAAATGTAATAGGTGTATTTAATTGAAAGATAAAAAATAACCTGCATCATTCATGCTGTCCATGATGGTCATTAAACGTTTTAATCTTGCCATAGACTCCTGTTCTGTACCTTTCGACATGAAATCTTGACTGAAGCCAGGAATCATACCCTGTTTAACAAAGAATTGTATATAAAAAATTTCGTATTTATAGTATTCATATTATAGAAACTTCAATACAAGTCATAGAAAATATTAAAGGTACTAGTTGAACTAGTTGATAAAATAAAATAACGGAACAGACCTTACCATTAATTGAGAAAACGGCCCCATTTTCATAATATTCTGAAATTGTTCATACATGTCCCTCAAGGTGAATTGACCATGTTTGATTTTTTCAAGTAGTTCTTCATTATCATCAAGATTTAATTCATTTACTTTGTCTATAAGCCCTTCAATGTCACCCATACCCAATAATTTACTAATAAACGGTTTTGTTTTAAAGGGTTCTAAATCATCTATGTGTTCTCCAGTACCTACAAAGATTACTGGACTTTGTGTTGCAGCAACCCTACAGAAATAATTACGATTGTTGGCGTAGTTATTACTACTATCTTTTTTTATTATTGTACACACAAACACAAGCTTATAAGAGTACAAATGTTCTCTTCAAGATATTTTACAAAAGTTCAAATAAATTATTTAGAGACTATGAAAACTTACGCTGAAAGAGCACCTCCACCTTTCGCGTGTCCATCAAGTTTTGTGATAATGATAGAACCAACATTAACACGTTCCTTAAAAGCTTTTGCTTGAGCTTCACAAGCCTGACCTATTGTTGCGTCCATTACGAAAATTATATTGTCTGGTTGCTAAAAATAATAAAAATCTGTATTTATTATTTAGAAAATAAAAAAAAATTTTAATACATAAAAATTACGTCAAATCATTTGATTTTAAAAGAGAATTAATAATGTCACCTATTTTTCATTGAGATATAGTTATGTTTAATAATGCTCAGAAAATGTAAACTAAGTTTCTGTTATATGTAGGAACAGCGCATATTTTGTTTGAAAATGAAAAATTTTTAAGCGTTCCACATTAATTTATAAAACCTTATCTCCGTGATCATACATTTTGTTTCATTCAATCAAAATGATATTTATCGTTAGTTTTAAAGAATTAAATTATTAAAACTTACAAATTTAAATTGTTTCCAAAATATTAAATAGCAATTATCAAAGTTGTAAAAAATCTAATAAACAACGCTCTTTCGTTCTTAACATTTATGATATACAAGGTGGGGCAAAAATTTCGTCCACCTGGAATATTTTTGTTATTTGTAATAATATGGAAAAATGTTATATACAAAACTTGCACAATATAGAGGGGAACACAATGTGACGTAAATACTTTTTATGTGGACAGATGCATAGAGAAGATTTCAAGGTCATCTCAATTTTTTTGAATGGGCTGCAATATTTTTTTTTTATCACTGTGTGATAGCCGCTATTGTGGCGATTTCAGCATGCTATCATTAAAGGTCATTCAAGGTCAAATGTGGTGGTAAAAGAAATTTTCTTACATTACAGGAGATGTTCGAAGTGTTGACCATTTGTGTCGATGCAAAGTTGCAATCTTTGTAACGCTGAATCACGTTTTATTGCCTCTGAACTTATTCCAGCACATGCTGCAGTAATCTGTTGTCTCATATTTTCCGCTGTATGTAGTCGGTATTTCTTGATAGGCAACATTTGTGAGTGCTTCCCAGAGAAAGAATTCTAATGGGATTAAGTCTGGAGAACAACTTAGCCACGAAACTGATCCTTCACGTCCTATCCATCAATTTAGGTACAGTTCATTGAATGTGTCTCTTATTCTCCGAGCATAATGTGTGCTAAACATCCGTCGTGCTGTAACCACATTGTTTGGCGAACGTTTAGTGGTACATTTTCTAATAAATTCCCCAATGTATTTCTTATAAAATATTCGCATCTTTCGCTAGTAAGGGTCCCATCGATAAAATACGGTCTACACGTTAACTACCCATTCACATTGATGCTCAACTTATCGTAACCAACGTGAATTTTCGACAGACTAGTGTGGCATGTTATGCGGATTTAGATTTCCGTGGTTAGTAAATGTAGCTTCATCGGTAAACAATATTGAAGAAAAATATGTTGCGTTCGTTTCGTATTTCATGTCGACTCCATTGGCAAAATGCGACACGATTCATAAAATCCGTACTGAGAAAATCTTGATGGAGACTAATATGGTACCAATGGTAACAAGGATTCATAGCACGTTCCTTCTGCCGATAGCATACTCGCTTTCAATTTGTCGAGAACTAATCTGTGGATTACGAGCTACCATCGCAAGTACGCCAATTTCGTTTGTTTCATCGATTGTCCATTTTCGATGATTAGTGACTTATGTGTAGTCAAACTTCCGGTTTCTCTTACTTTTTTTTTTTTATACAATCTCTGAAATATTCGGTGCGAAGGATGTGTACGATTCGGATACCGTTCAGCATACAAGGCTATTATTGAATTTTGATCCTATCCATTTCTTCTTTAAAAGAAAACTTTTATCTTGATTATCACGGTGATATTTGACTCGGAAATTAAATCGATACTGACTACTGATATTCCACGCAATGTCGTTAATTGCCACAACGTTTACGTTCGTAACTGGGCATAATGTATTATTAGAACGTAAACATTGCGGCAAAACTGTCTATTTACATAAAAGTAAGAGTCAATGAATTACAGCATTTGCTAGAATAAATCCAGCGATGATAAGATGTATCCGCGGTTCCACAATTCTAAAGTAATAATAACTGTTTTACTATGTTCAGTGACCTTGAATGATCTTTAACGATAGCATGCTGAAATCGCTATTACTGATCTGTTTTTGTTTTTTTTTCACAGAAAATACGAGTAACTATTAAATTACTTACAATTGCATTTGCAACTTGAAGCATCTCCTCGAACAGGGATTCTTCTTGCTTGTGTCTACCGCTGGTATCAACAATAATGATTTCGTAACCTTCTTTTTTAAACATTTCTACACCATCCTGTGCTATTGTGACTGGGTCCACCTCTGTATAGCTAGATAACAAATTTGTTCAGCATTATTATAACGTTATTTACCATGCAACATTATTATTATTTGCATCCAAGGAACGAAGTGAAACGAAAAGTGCATATAAAAATGACATATCATACACGTCGACCTGTATAGTTATTATAGCTCGTATCTTTAACGTTCTCACGCGAATAGGAACGTGTGGTGCCCAGATTTGGCTGAGCATTTCACACTCGGGAAGAGATGACTTTTTGGCGGTGATTGTTAGGCAGGAGGGATGAGATCCCAAGAGAGGCGGGGTGTCTATGCAAGATTTCCCCCATGTAAATCAAAAATTTTGAAAAAGGGAGAAATGAGATAGGCGGAAAAGGAAAGGTTGTGTGCCTTCGTTCTGGGTCTCCGATTGGATTCGTCAGGAAGGCTACCTATTTAGGAGACCCGTGCTTTAGACACCGAGGACCTATCAGACTTGGGTCGGAAGTTGTACTTATACATATAGGGCGGTCCACGTAATTTCTCGAACAATTTCTAAAGTATGCGTTGTATGAAAAATTTGTTTTATGCAAGAGTTGCATGGTTTGCAGGGGCACATTACGTAGTGTATGTACTTTTATTATAGATGAAGGCTTTTCGGAGATTTCAAGGTCAACTTCGTTATTTTCAATGGAATGCTATACTTTTTACGCCAAAATATCGAACAAAGTTGAATTCTGAGTAAAAAAAGGTATTGATCATTATTAGCCCTAAACCTAATAATTAACATACGTGTAACAGACATCGCTCGGTTATCAGGAGTCCTTTAAACGAAAGTTCCATATAGTATATTACAAATATATTGTAATAAGAAACGAAGACTATTAGTACCGACATTAAAATTTTGATGCTTAGAAAAATTATTTCTGTTATAAACACTATTCGAAATTTCCTAATATTTTACAGTTTTACCCTTTTATACATAATCACTACAATTTAAAGCAAATTCCGCTCAAAAAGAAGCTCTCGCCCTTCTCACGACCTCTCTACGTTGGACTCATAATTTACATATCCACTTTTAAAGCCAAAGAATTTTAATTCTTGACAATATTGAGAATATCTTTAAAGAAGATTACAAAGAACAATTATACATAAAATACGATAGTAATTTTAATTTTAATAACAGTAACAGTAATGTTATTTATTTGTATTTTTCACTTATTTATTTAAGATTGTAAATAATTTTCCAATCATTACTCACCTTCCATAAAACGGAATTCTTGCTTTCGTTGCGTTTTGCTTTATCTGATCGTATGCGCCAGCACGAAAGGTATCGGCACAAACTAAGCAGGCTTTCCAGTTTTTCTTTAAATAATGATAAGCAAGTTTTGTGCAAGTAGTTGTCTTTCCTGAACCTTGTAGACCAACGAACATAATTATATTTGGTCGTCCTTTTATTGGCTGATAAGCTTTCACTCCAGGGTCAATTAACTACAATAAAACAGTCGGATTGTATTAAAAAAGAAAGCCTTTCAAAAAATTCAAGAACAATGTAATGAAGAGTCTGAAATACAATGTACGATATATTGTAGAATATTAATGTTTATAAGACGAATGCAAAACATTTCTTACATAGGAGTACAACAGGATGTTCCCCTTACTATGAATATCGTAATTACTTCCGCTGTTAGTGAAGATACGAAAAAAATTAAACGAGAGTTACATGGTTCAAGGACGTGCATCTAGTAATAATAAAACAAATTTCTCCAAGGTCATTTTTAAGATCATTTCAAGGTCATCGTCGTTACCTTCCGCTCGTTTTTTATTAGGTGACACTGTAACCGGTGACGAGAAACCAGTTCAATGACCTATGATATCATAATACATTGTTAACGGGAGACGCGAATTAGAATCTTTTGCTGGTGAAGAGATACGCTAATTCGCATCATCTACACCTCTAAAAATCACAGTACACTGTCAGTAATGTGATAACCGTGAAATGACCTTGAACAGTATAAATCATGTTTAAATGAAAAGAAAAGAAAAATGAGGAACGAGGCGCAAATGAATCGATTTACTTCGTTAGATGCTAAAAAATGTTGACCCCTCACGACAATACACTTACGTACACGACAAATGGGATAAGTGAATGACGTGTTTTACACTTCTTTAGTTTATATTACGATATGCATTCTTAGTTCGTTCTTGCTACATACCATCGCTACATAACATCGCTGTATATACGATTCATTTCAAAGTCCCCCACGAAAAATAATCCAGCGGTGATAATTCAGCAGCCAGGTAATGTTTCATCCACGTCCAATCCATCTATTGGAGAACATGTCACTTAATACGTTACGTATTTTGCGAGCATTATATGGGCTGGATAGCCACGGTATTGATACTACATTACTAATCGTTACTACACTGAAACATCCTTCGAATGATCGGAGTCATACTGATCGACAACAATCGATATTTTAGCAATTTGGTAGATTTCAGTAGACAAAGTAAGAAATTTCAGTTTCCGAATGACGATTGTACGCGAAAAGCAAATAACAGTATTTATTAACTTTCTCAAAAACCGAAAAACGATTCCACGTTAATTCTTTACTATCCAATGTCATTTCAAAATCGCAATGTCATAGATCGTTAAACTTGTCCCGATGTCGGCTGCAATATGTCTCGCGTGATAAAAAGAAACAGGTGGTATTGTGCTAAAAATGTCGAGAACTATAAAATCAAGAAGACCTGGGAAGAAGCTTTTTTTATTACCGCAAGACGCACGTCCTTGAATCATCTGGCCACGCTTCTAATCATTTTTTCATATTTAAACAAAAATTTTAATCAGGCATGTTCAAATTCAACGAGAGATGAAGTTCGTCGTGTAACTTCTTATATTGCACAGTCGGTAACATTGTATCACACTAATGGGATAGGTAGTGGGGGAAGCACCCTAAGTTTTGAAAGTTAGTTTGAACATGCTTGATGTGAACATTCGTAATTCGTAATTAATCAAATAATAATAATTTTAATGATATAGACATTAATGAAAATGTTTGAAAACAAAGAATAATAATAGCAAAAGAGATTAACAAAAAAATACACATAAATATAATAATAAGAAGTATTTATACTATTATTAAAAATTTATGCGTTTAAGATTAAATAGATTGTTTTACAATACTCCGTTAGATTGTAGTCTCTTATCAATTTTATAGTAAGCAATATGTAATAATGTAATACATGTGAAAAAGAAATCACAAAGGTAAAGGCGCAATTTTTAAATTATGTGTGACTTTTGAGATGTCTTGTTGTAAACTGCTTGTATTTCACTTTTTCCTTTTGACCTATCGCGATTTCATAACGCACGACGCATTTTATAGAGTAAATGTATTCAAAAGATCCCTTTTTTAGAGGCTAATGTAACAAAACATAGTAAATTTAAAAACACTCGTACAGATCGACCATCTTAGCGGTATAGTCGTTTTGACCATAGACACACTATCCAATTTATAGCTTATTGTAGTACATTGCACGCATACATACTCATAGGAGTAAACTTCCATTTTAAACGCAAACCTTATATTAATATTTATATAGTACACAACTTTATCTACACTAATCTTGTACAAACCACATGTTGTACCTTCCCCTCCTTATATTAATATTTGTATGCTATTTTCGTTATATCCTACTTTCTTCCTCTTGCTTCTGTACTTCTCTACCTCTTCTTTCCAGTTCCAGTCTCAAAACACCACCCTCGCTTGCCGTTGTTTCCACTGCTTCCGGAGCATAACCTCCTCCTTTAAAAAGTTCCCTTTATTTCTATACTTCATTATGACCGCTTTCCCTTTGTTCTTCTTCTTATCTGTTTTCCACATCTCTTCCCAGTTTCTCTTGTTTTTTCCTCATATACTCTTTCTTCCATTCCTTTTCCCTGCATTCGTCCTTATCCCGCTCTTCACTTCATTCATCTCTATCTATCTTGAGGTAGTCAACGTGTAATGTTTAAAATGGTAAATTTCATTTAATAAGTAAACAATCTATTTAAATATCCTTCGTCTAATTCTGGGTGTAGACATTCAATAGTTTATGAGATATTAAATAATAAAGGTTGAATTCAGTCATTGGGGCGCAAAGAAGCTTGGAAGCAAGCGGCCAAATTAAGCAGATCGCTTGGCGTAATGGCTATAGCTATAGCATAGTAAACGAATGGTCCGTGGTTCGATTTCATCTGGGGTTAAAATTTTTTTTCTTCTCTGTTTACTCTGTTCCAAATTAATTTCCATATTACGTTTTTCTAGTAAACTTTTTAATCCAAAAGAATATGCAAAAATGGTTTTCATAATATTATATTCTATATATCGTGTTGTCATGGATAGTATTTATCATAAAAATAATTCAATAAAAAATATCATTAATCTTTTTTGTCCAGTGGATTGGATTTTGATATAAAATATTAATACAATTATAAAACAATACATACAACAATGTAATAAAATATAATACAAATATCAATACAATATTAATACAAAATTGTTTAACAGTTCACTTTTACAATTTTTTATTGTATATGTAGCATTCTAATAGGTGATACTTATGGTAAAAACAATTAAAACAGACAGATTTCACACACTATATTCTATAAATGCTGTAACATTACAGACACACTGTTTTTTACATACATCATTAAAACTTTATTCATTAATATTGCAAAATATTTTGCGATTATCAACAAATTTCACAGTATATCACGTGTATTCTATTATATTCTTAAATACGATTGCAGACAATTGATTGTGGATTAACGCATATAATTTAATATAATCTTCCCTACCTGAAATTTCGCAATTATCTTTTAAAAAGAAATCAGCATTTTGAAAATTTGCAATTTACTATTTCACCTGCTTGTAAAACCATAGTAAGGTTGACATAAAAGTGTACATTCAATCTGAATATAAAATGTTTGTACAATTTGTTTAAAGAATACTGTAACAAAAAATTTGAATAAACATATCAAATGAAGTATCATATATTCTTTCAGTATTTTTGAGAAAATGCTCCATACTCTTTTAAACAACCTTGAACTATGTAATGTAGGTGATTTTTGTTTTACTAGTAAATAACAATTAGAACAAAGCCCAAATAATGTAGACAAAAACAGAACTGTTGCTGCATGATTGAAAGATTGCTGCAGATTAATTAAAAAAAATTTTATAAAAAAAATCCATGAAAATAATGTATACGTTTCTGTACTGGAATTTGACCATGGAAAGAATTTGTCATTGCTAAAACTTGGAGTTAAAGCTCAATTTTACAAATGTCTTCTGTGGATGAATGTAATTAATATACATTGTTATAATGATGAATCAAGTGTTGTGTACAACATTAATAGTTTTAAAATTGGCATCATATGGTTTAATGAATTTATCAATAATTCCTGCAGTAAATTGACCTTTATACACATGTTTTTAAAACAATTACTGTAGTTTTACAGTGTAAGTAGTATCTGTTAATCTTTCATCAAATTATCTCAATAAGTATTTTATTTAATATTATGCTTATAGAACTTTGTTGTTCAGTTTACTTCTCTAATCACTAGCTTTAGTCCAAAACAGTTTTCAGTCAGAGGTATTCCCTGGCTGAGTCTTATGAAATACAAATAGAATAATCAAATCATTTCAACTATAGCAGATGCGATTATGTCCTGATATGATGTGTAATAGAAATGTAGCAGAGAGCTTTATTGATAAATAAATAATAAATTTACTTAAAAAAGGGCAAGACATTTTCAAATAATAAGTAAAATTATTTTTCAATATTTTCTTTCAAATAGTAAACAAATTACTTACCTTTACAAGTTCTTTAAATACAGCACTTTGGATCATTCGCCTTTTATTTAGACCACCGGCCATATCATCAAAATCAATGACCCGACGCACATTTTCTCTTAGCTCTTTGACGAGCCTAATGTTAACATCTGCTTCAAGTAATGCCGCACATATTTCTTTTAGCATAGAATTAAGAACCTACAAATAACACAAAAGAAATTTATACAGAAGAATAAAACATCAACAAGAAAAATATTTTTACCTTTAAATATATTAGTTTTCATAAATAATTTTC